TTCTCATTCCACAAGGTCCCAGGTTCCCACTTTTGTTTTTATGCCCCTGTAACTGCAGTAGAAACCAACCGATGGACGTCTGGTTAACTAGAACCCCAATTATTTTAGTGAGTCTGAATATTTAAAAGTAATTTGCAATTTCCACTATGATTAATAACTCTACATCATAAATGGTAATTCGTGTTATTTATTGACATCATGTAAATTTACTATATTATTGAGGTTTACCGCTCATTATACGATAAACAAATAATTAATAATTACAGGGTTCGAAAATTTTTGGAGTTGCATATTGAAATTATCAATGAATGGACTGCCGGAAGAGTTGACATTGAAAAAAGTTTTTCTTGATGTACAAATCTTCTATCGAATAATCGTTAGTCATTTGAAATTGAAAATCTTAAGATAGTATTGGTGATTTAATACAATAATTAAACAGATATTATAAAAAATATATTCTTTTGTATTTAATTTTTCAAAAATACTGAAAAAATATTTTTAATTAGATTTCCAATTCGATAAGATGTCGACATTCCAACCAAGTTTTACATTTTTTTTTTCAGTGATAAATAGTTTTACGTATATTATTAATTTACTAACAACATCAGAATAATTATTCTAAATATTTAACATTTTTAATACATATTTTTCGAATGAACTTTTCATTGAATATTTGTGCTCTTTCTTCTGTTTTTTAATTTAATTTTTTTTTTATAATATATCTGGATTGTATTTTTGACTATTTTTGGCGAGAATACTAAATATAACAATACTAAATTACTTTATTTAGTAAGGTGCAAATAATATAAAATGAAAATACTATTAATTCATAATTTCTTTCAGTTATTTAAAAAATTAATATTTAACAATTTTTTATCTAGATAAAAACATTATTATCTTTATCTGTATCTAGATAACTTTTTATAATATATCTTTATCTTATCTAGATAACATTATTGTTATATGGACTCAACACTGGTTGTCCATATCTCACTAAATCACTTTTAAAAATATTTCAATTTTACATAGTAACAGTATCATTTCAATGAATCCACAAATTATTTGAAATTCCTTTTCTAGACCCATTATTATTACATAATAAAGTTTTTCGAAAATACGGGATTCTTTATTCAGTTATAATGTAATTAACTTTTTTCTGTTTTATATATTAGTTCTCAGAACGATTGTTCTTGGTTTATTAATTTATTTATTTATTGATTTTTCTTTTTTTCTCTTTTTTTTGTTTTCTTTTTTTCATTTATACATTGTTTATATAGTTGTAATCGTCGAGCTGTAACAATTTTAACAATAAAAGTTAATAAAGAAATCTATGTACTCGTATGAGTACACAGCGCATTTGAAACATGATTGTTGAATCCGCATTGATTGCATACGAGTGTGTTAAATAAAAGGGATAATTTGAATTTATTCAGTATCTGTCGATATTGCAATTCGGTGATTATATTATTATTACCATTGCGTTCCTGTGTCCAAAGATTATTAATATATATATACATAAATATATATATATATATATATATATATGTGTGTGTGTGTGTGTGTGTACACGCAGAGAAAAAAAAATGAAAAAAAAACTTTCAAACGTCTCGTACCGTACAATCGATAAAATTAATTGGCGTTTATTTCCCCTCCTGTAGAGTCGTCGTCGACGTACACCGTTTTCCCGTTACACGCCGTGGCGCGCGTGCGCATATTCTCACAGAATTATTATTCCCACCGCGTGTTAATTAAAGTTTGAAAACCGGAGGATTTAGAGGAATAAGCAAGTCGACTATAGATTTCGGTATGAATGTTCGTTGGTCGAGCGGGCAAGGGCGGGTACCGCGATTCGAAAATATGGAAATCGTGCACTAAGGTGTACGGCGAAATGTGCACATGCAACATTAATTAATCCAAATCGACGGTCTTGTGTACGCGGCGGGTTAGAATATGCATAATAGCGTAGCATTCCTTTTTTTTATAACCGGTACATTATAGAGATTATTTATTATTTTTTTTTTCTAATTACGCCATGACAATTAATTTTCGTTTCCAACCGTCGTGTCGCGCGAGCACACGATATTTTTGAAAGCGATTTGACGACGTAATAATAAACCGTTTTCAATCGCCGCCGTCCAGAAGAAAAGCTCCGCACTATTTACCACACAAAAACGCCACCAAAGCTAAGTGTTATATTAGCTCATATTAAAATCGAAATGTCTACATCGAAACCGAATCGAAATGACAAGTATGCAGGGATATTAGGTATCGCGGAACATCCGTTAGATCAAGGGCTGGAAAAAATGTTTTTCATTTGTTTTATAAAATCGTTTTAACCTTGATTAGTATATGATTACTGAAGTTTCAGCCAAATATTCGCATATGCCACCCACCGCCTTCTAAACGGTGAATTCCGATTTCAATAACAATACCAGCTTCTCATGTCCGCCTCCTTATCTCGTAAAATGAATGCCGTTAAAAATCTTATTGCTCAAGGTCAATCTTATAAATCACCCATATAGAGGGACTATATTAGAACGCCGATGGAGCGGAGATTGCGAATCCATACAAGAATAATAATTCAAAAATAAGTGCAAGCTATCGCAGGATACGATATTAATCATTTTCAATTATTTCCAAGTTTTATTTTTCCTTACGCTTAGATAAACTAGCGAGGAAATCGAAAAAGGACTCATTTTTGTGTTCAATTCCTGTCTGAAAAATATGCTGCCTGAAACTTTCGGTAAAGATTTACAACCCAAAAAGTGTCCTCAGAAAAATAAAAATATCGTTGCATAACCAATGGCTTTTCACGGGATCCAATATTATTTATAAAACACGAACACCCACGCCAGCCAATTTATTCAATTCCATTGCTGGATTGTTTTGTAATATTTTTTTGTCTTTCGTAATTGGAATAATTTATATACGTCAATCACATACTGTGTTTGTTGTAATTTTTTCCACATATTGTTTCAAATCACTGGTTCCCAAACTGGGAAGCGCGCCCCTCTTGAGGGGCGTATATTCAATGCTGGGTTAGGCGCAAACATTTATTACAAAATACAATTTTTATTAATTTTATTAATTCTGAATATTGTGTAGTTTATTTGTACACAAAGAATGGTGATCGATTTTTTTTCGATTTATAGGAGAGGGAGGTGCGAGATTTTTAAAAATCTACAAATGGGGTGTAAAATAAAAGAGGTTGGGAACCAATGTTTTAAATAAATGTTGAAATAAAAATAATTAAAAATAAAATCAGTTTAATGAATGATTAAATAAAAATAATATCGAGAATAATAATTACTGCTATGTTAACTTATATCAAATGCTTAACGTTGAATAGAACCAAATACAATTTAAAGACGTTCTGTGTATACGAGTAAATCGAAACTATTACATAAATTAGTCGAGAGAAAAGTTTATTTGAATAGATAAATATTAAACGGATTATTTTGCTTATTAAACAAAGTTTCAAATTACGTAGTGTACGTGTATAAATTACATTTGAATAGGTTAGTAAGTTATACGACTTAAATTGTATTTCCTTGAATAGTATTCTCGAGTTCGAACAGGTACGTGAAATAAATAAATAAAATTGCGCGCAGCAAACATTAGTCGGAATTTAAATCGTCGTATAAGTGGATACTCACACGGCTCATATCATTAAATACAACACAACTTCAATAATCACTTTACGAAAACAATCGTTATTAAATTGAACGAACTCAAAAAAGCATTCGAAATAAGTTCACAAATCGCATCGGTTATTATTAATAAATCATATGCTATAAATGTATAATGTTAACTTGATAGTTTTACATTATTCTCCTGTCTCCACGGATCTTGATACGTTACAGTTCACATTTTCACATGTATAATTCGTGTCACACTTGTCTGTTTTGCGTTAATCACATAAAAATAAAAATTCGAAAATGACATGAAATAAGAGTTGTATTAGCCGATTGCAAGCGATACGTAAATCAATTTTATACGTAATCTTTTCCGTAAAGGAAAATCTAAAGTCGTTTTTCTTTTCTCTCCTCGGAACCCGGTTCTATTTTCATGAACGTTCTTCGAACAGCGGGTGGATTGAAATCAACTCAACAAAAATACAAGCAAATAATTTAAGTCATCATAATCTAATCAATAGTCATGGAAGGATTTGATTGAAAGTCAACTTCTCGTTGGTACACAATTTACGTTATTGCGACATTCGTTAAAAGGATATTAAATGTGTTCACTGTGCAGCTTAAAAAAAACATAAAAGCACAGCGGAAACAAGAACGCTAACCACACATCATTCACGAGAATTTAAACCAGGGACTGAGACCGGATCGAAAAGAATCGGTTACGGAACCTATAACCTAGTGTAAATAAAAGAACCGAAAATAACCGTTACCTGTATTTTATATTTTTAATAGATTCTAATCAATACCGAAATCTATTCATAATACCAAAAGAATACCGGTTTTTTAAGGGTTTTTTACTGTTTTCAAGTTCCTATTGAAATTGAAAGAAATTACTCTTTGAACTAAAAATATATTATTTAGAAACAATAATTACATTTAATAATTTATATTATACAGTATTTACGCAGTTATATTCGGCCGTCGACCAATGAATATAATATTATTGTCTATTAATAATATTAATATATTACTATATATTATGTTTATGTTACACGATAATGTCGATAACGTATCATTTCTGCGGACACATAAGTTATTTTTACAATTACAAAAATGACACTGGGTTTTTGAAGTGTTTATTTTTATTACATATCTACACATTAAACACAGTACAAACGCATATCGAATTATCGTCATTATCGAATATCGGTGATCAGTAGTGAATTTGCTATATTTGCTATTCAGTCGCCGACACGTGAACACGTAGTCTCCTTTATTTAAAAGTATCAAATTAAAATTATGGGCTATCATACCGTGTTATGCGTTTATAAATATTTTGTTTACGATAAGAAATCCAACGAGTCAGTTTGTTTAAGTTGTAATGGAAAAATAAAAGTGAGTAGTTACACATTTTTGTTTCATTTAATTTTAATTTAAGTTTAAAATAATTGACAAAAGAATTATAATAATATGGTAATAAAATGGTAGGTAATTATGTAATATTCAAGTAAATAGTCAAGACGACATTATCTTTATAGTTTATATCTATACCATCAACTATAATAGTGTAGTCTTGAGTAATTTATTCAGGTCCAACTCGCTATTATGTTAAAAATACCCAATGTGAATATTATATAATTATCTACAAAATAAAAAATAGTACCTATGATTTTACCAGTAATTGCTCTTTACCTGTACGTGTAGCTTTTAAATAATATTTTAATTTTAAATAATATTTATTTTGATTAATTTAATTTGTATATTGTATTCCTTAAATATTTATATTTTGAAAATGTAATTGATATAGCTAGATTAGCTATTGATAGCTAGGTAGTCAGATATTATATAAATATTTATAAATATGTACTTATAATTTTAAAAGGGAAAGCATGGAACACATTTGAAAATGCACCTGATTACTCACCAGGATATATATGAGGAGATTCTGGTTAAAGATACAAAAATAAAAAAATCTACCCAGAATAACACATCTGTTATCAAAGCACATGAGAAACTTATTTTTCTATATCCGAGGTTAAAGTTAACATTAATATGAACACTTTAATCGGCGCCTGCAAATACTTAACATCAGTATACAATATATATTCTTGTATTAAAATTTCTAGTTTGAAAAAATAATGTATAAAAATAAAGGTTAAGAACCGGTTAGAACCGAAACCTAAATTTTAAAACTCTTAAAATCCCGAAATTTAACCTAAACCCCTAAAAAAATATTTTAAAAACCCGAACCCTTTCCTAAACTGTTAAAACCATTAAGGTCTCAGTCCCACAAATACACAATAACAGAGTTTAAAAATATAATTGTATTGTGCGGATAACAGTTGGGCTTTATGGGATATAAACATTATGTACAGCATATAAGCTGTGGAAAATCAAACATTTCGTAACGTCCAAAGGGAGACTGTTCAATAGAATATCTGCTTCTTTTTTCTCTCTAAATATTATTTGATTCGTTTGTTTAACGTATCTCGACAGCAAAAAATTTATCAGTAACTTAAAACGACATTAAGTTAGTGCGTTACGAGCCATATAAATCCAAAATTAAATTATTATTGCACGTATCTTTGATTGTTTAACTGTAAATTATGTTTTTAAACAAAAGTTAAATATGGTAAATAAATCTATTTAATATACCTGAGCTAAAGTTTTCAATTTCCAGGAATAATAATAAAATGGCTTGATAATACGATTTTTGTTTGTAAATGTCTCGGATATCTAATGGCTTTGTAAGACCTGCTTTAGTTTGGAATCAGCAATATTATAGTTGTCTCCGTCGATATCTCGCATATTACAATGAAATCAGATTTTCGTACTTTTTATGAAGTTTTTACTCGAGCTGATGATAGGCATTATAAAAATAAATTAAAATAAACGAATGAAAGAAAATAGTATTGAAACCGATTTAGAAGTTATTCTCAATAATTAATGTACTATACATATTTTATATTTATTAAAATATACATTCAATGTGTTCCTGCAGGTACTAAACGTATACAGAATATTATTTATAATAAATTGCATATCGATATTTGTTACTTAATAATATACAAAACAATTGTCAAACATTTAAAATCACTATCACTCTCAATTCAAGTTGTTTGAATTTAAAAATATTCGATATGATGATAAGAGAGTTTACGGCATCTAGCAAGACTATAGTCTTTATTACTTCAAATATTAATCAACATATAATACATGTATAAAAGTATGGGACACAATACTTATACATATATTATTATTTCACTATTTTATATTCGTTTCATAATATAATTTATCATATAATGAGGTTAGGTATATATCACGTTTATTCTGAAAAAAAAAACAAATATATATTAATTTCGTTTGACTTAAAGGGAAACCGTTTAAGTTTAAGTTTTTTTGGAAATATTGTTCACGATATTTAATTTTCAATTATTTTTTGGTGTAGTTCGATGCAAAATATAAAGCAGTTGTTCTCCACATTTTTTCATGACACTAGAATCAAACACCGCTCACCCTAACATCAAAATAATAAACAATCTTAACTGAATATTTTAGAATAATTCTTTTACCAAAAAAAAAAAAAAAAAAAAATACAATTGGTGGTACGCAGAAAAATAATAAGTATACACTTTATTTGAGTTTCAGAGGGTTCAATAAACATATTGAACACTTTAAAGTTTAAATTGGTAAATTAAAAAAAAAACAATAAGTGCAAAAATAATAATGATTTGTAAAAAACTATTGAGAAATTTTATCCTGGTGATTTTAATAAAGTTGGAAAATTCGAGGAATGATGGTGGAAAAAGAGTGTTTTATATTGTCTTTTGAATATATAGAGCTATAACACTACATAGCAACTGTAGAATAACTGACTAATGACCGATTTATTCGATAAGACAATCAATAACACAACTTCGTTGCAAGTCAAAATACTGCAAGTGTTTATCAGACCTAAAGATTCAATATAAATAATAAAAAGATTTAAACAGTGAGGTATGCTGTTTACACGACAGTTGCGGCAATAATATTAATTTATTCAAAATAAATTATTTTCTTGTTTCTTTTCCCCCTTTTCCCGTGAAGATTTCGTGTCACCCCTACGCTGGGTCCATGCCACCCCAGTTAAGAACCACTGCCATAAATGTCACTTCAGTTACACGTTCAGTTACACGTCAGTTGAAACTGATCTTGATCACGCACGATTAATTAATCATATGACAATTATTAGGAATATTTAAGACACTATATTTCACAAGAATATCACAAACATCTAATGGTGGGGGATCATTCATCCAATCCAGTATGTTAAAAAATTCACAAGCTCATAACATTTGTTCGTTTGCACAAATATTTGAATGGCGATAATAACTATTTTGTTAAAAGCTATTATTTGTTTATTCACTGTTAGTAGTTCTTTCGACTTCACTCGGTAAAAATATTTCCATCGTAACAATATACGTAGGTGAATACTACGACAGTGAGTTTAATAAAATAATCTTTTTAACAAACAAAATTTACTTGGAACGATGTTTCAAAACATTTTTGCAATACCTTAAAAATCGATGCAGCAACATCTTTATATCAGATTAAATTATTACAGCATATTTTATTATTTACATTAATGATTTTTATAATAATAAATAACAACAGCTTAATGAATTCTCAAACCGTGAAAAATATATAACAAGCACAAGTAAACTTTTTTACTAAACGAAAAAAATACAAGGAACTTGAACTCTATGTGTCGCTTTAGTCACATGCGAAACAATATTGTATACCTTGATTCACATCAAAAGTTTCACGATGTAATTGATGTATAATCAGAAGTTAGAATAAACAAATTTATTTGTTATTCTCAATACCAAAATGTTCTTAAAATTACCTACTGTATTTTGTGTTTCTGAGCTTGCAATCGTTTTACAATTATTTTTCATAGGTAATGTGGTAAATTCATAGATAATCGTATACCTTGAAATTTTAATGTTCGTTGGAATTTATTGTTTTTAAACCAATAACACCTGTTGGAAAATGTGTGTGTAAAACTATGTGATATGGGTAAACTTGTTACATTTCTTTTCTTTTTTTTATGACTGCAAGAGAAAAATAATTGACGTGTTATAAATTTTGCTGATAATAATAAATTGCAGAAATCACTTTACACTGTATGACAAAAACAGATCGCGTTTAAAAAAGATAAACTACAAGAACCTTATCATCGATAACAAAAAAACTATTCTAGGACCAAAGTAGCGGAAAAATAAAAGTAAAACATAAAATATGTGAATAGCGATACATTTAATTTTTTGTTAAACAATAATGTATGGGTAATACCCATTGGGTATTTTATGTATTGTAGGTTTGTCACAGATTTGATATACCTCAATTTATAAGTAATGGCCTTAATATAAATGTAGTATGTTATTAAACTTGATAAATGAAACATGATGCAATACTTTGGTGTTATTCTTTTACACGTCCCTTACATATTTTTATTTGGATCGGTTTTATTACACGTTAAATTCCTTCCAATTGTTGTTGATCTTCAAATTAATTTATTATGACGTTTGATTCTCTAAAATAATAAATGTTTATAATCAATATTATGCTACTTGAGAAAATATATTTTTAAATATATTAAAATATATTAATATTGTTCGGTCCTGTTACATATCAACAATAAGGCGCAGTTGGTAACACTACCACGTGTCCTGGCGTGGACGAGTTGGTAACGCGTATAGTGATCGTATATGTTTTCTCCTTCGCCGCCAACACAGGAGTGTAAACCACGATCTAAACTGCGTGTTATTTATTCACTTTTTCGTGTGTCTGTGTGTTTTGTGGTTGTATTCCGGATGTACGTGCGCCTTCGTCGCCATTTTTTCTTTCACCTTCGTTTTTGAACATGTGATACGTGCGCCTTCGTCGCCGTTAGTTAAATGCGCCTTCGTCGCCTTTTTTGGATTATAATACGACGCCTTCGTCGTCGTATACGCAATACGTGCACCTTCGTCGTTTAGTAAGTGAACTATACTTGGTGAAACTTAATTTAGTGTGGACGTGGATAATTTCGGATACCAGTCATCGTGGCACCGTTTGGAGACAAGTCAACCTTTTAATTATTTTTATGAAAACAAATATATTTGTCCTGTGCGCCCATTGAGGACATTTATTTTATATTTATTTTATACATTATACGTTGCTTCTCCCCCTTTTGCCTTTTAGTTAATAAGCTTATTCAATGTTCTTATTCAATATTTATTTAAGTTAATCTAATAAGATTTTGTATTTGATAAACCAATTGCTGATCATTTTATTATATCCCTCCTCCTTCATCCTTTAATTTTCCATCTATACGTGTGGCAATCGACCGGATTCTTCCGTTGCGATAAGCTCTCGTAATATACACCTGCGAGAATTTCGCGCGCACATTTTTGGTCCTTCGAGCCGGATATTTGCCGAGATAATATATTTGGAAAATGGGTAAGCCCAAGACTGATACAGCTAAAAAGGAGTTGACACGCACGCGTGCTGTGCGTGATCAAACGGTCAAGTCTATCCATAGCATACATTCGATGGCTGTCAAAGTCAATAATAATGGTGCGTTAATTGAAGATTTGGCAGTTCGCATGGATAAATTAGAAACTTTATTCAAATTATTTCAAGAACAACAAAATATGATTTTGGATGTCCTAATAGAACTCAATATCGTGGATGAATTTTCCGTTGATTCAGACGTAACAACCTCCACAGAAGAGTTGTACTACAACACTTGTGCTATAGCCGCTAAATTACTCAGTGTTAAACCAATGAATAGTTCTGTGTTAAACGCCCCGCCTATATCGACTTCCACGTCTTCCGTTTTAGCATTACCTAAAATCGATTTGCCTAAATATGATGGTAACTTAATTCAATGGAGACCTTTCCGTGATAAGTTTGTATCCTTAGTACGCCGAAATGACAATCTAAGTAAAATTGACCAATTTCATTACTTATTATCTTGTCTATCTGGTCCGGCATTGTCTTGTATCAGTTCATTACCACTCACCGGCAGTAATTATGATATTGCCTGGAAGACATTAATGAATCGTTACGACAATCAATGTTTATTGGCTTCAGCCCATTTGGATAAATTATTTTCATTTCGCCCAATGGTTGCAGAATCATTGCCGTCTCTTCTCAACTTCATTAATATTTTTCAAGAAAATGTGGCCGCGATTACTGCGCTTGGTGTAGACAATCTATCTGACTTTATGTTATTTTATATTGGGTCGCGGTTATTGGACCCGATTACTCGACAATTGTTCGAAGCCAGTGTTTCGCAGGAAACTATTCCTACTTTTGATTCTTTGCTTACGTTCGTTCATCACCGTTGTAGAATCCTGGAGAATACCAAAGGTCCAGACAATGATCGAACCGAAAAGAAACACACACGACTCAAGGATTATAAGACAACCAGGTCATCTCTTACCACTACATCAACTAGCAAAAAGAGGTCCAATCCAAAATGTCCATGTTGTACAGGAGAACATTTTGTGTACCGTTGTCAAGTTTTCAAGGATCTTCCAATACAAAAACTACGGGATACAGCGTTGTCAACAAAATTGTGTTTTTTATGTTTGAGTCCTTCACATACGGCAAAAGCATGCAAATCTAAATGGTCATGTTCGGTATGTAAAAAACGACACCATTCTCTACTTCATCAAGATTCCATCTCGTCATGTGTTGTACAAGGAAACGATCCTATTCAAAGCACTTCACAAGATAACATTACTAAGTTCTCTGGGTTGCCATGCGTCACTTCCACGGTCGTGTTGGGAACCGCCATAGTTCGTATGCGTGACTGCCGTGGTGATTATCAAACCGTTCGTGTATTATTGGATAGCGGATCACAAGTATCAGCCATGACCATGCGATGTGTATTAAAGCTAGGCCTTCCCAGACGCAGATGTCAAATAGGCATAGTTGGTTTATCAAAGAAATCAATAGATAACGTAAAAGGGATTACCAGTTGTCACTTTGTACCATGGCAACAACATGAACCTTCGTTCTGTAGTTCTGACATCATTATTTTACCTCAGATTATCAATAACATGCCTTCTATGCCATTACCACCTTGTGTTCGTCAGTCTTACGGTCATCTATCATTGGCTGACCCTTCATTTGATGTTCCCTCATCTATAGATATGCTCATTGGTGAAGATTTGCTTCCTCACATAATGAAGCCCCGAGCCGACATTTAACAACGTCAAGGTTTGCCGTCAGCGGTGGATTCTTTCTTGGGATGGGTTGTTTT